TCCCCCCCCCCCTCTCTCTCTCTCTCTCTCTCTTTCGACAGCGGAGAATTAGAAATTACAATTAGCGCAACCCGTTGCCTAACCGCGCCTTACCGGGGAGCGTGAGAAAAGCGAGCGGTTCTTGATTTTTTCGTGTGGCCGCTAATACGCGCCGATAAATTACAAGCGAGCTCGCGAGCGAGTGAGCGCGAATTATTCAGTCGCGATCGACGCAGCTCGGTTTCGGTTCGTTAGCGGTTTAATCGCGCCTGGAAATTGGTATCCCGACCGCGCGTTCGCAAGTAACTTCTTATCACGCGCCTACCGCGTCCTCCTCGCGTCCTCCACGCACGACGGCCCCGTGGAAATGCCGTGGGAGAGTTTTATTATACGGGTCGTGCGCAGGAATCTCTGTGGAGTTTGTGAACCTGCGCGGAGCGCGGACGATAAACAAAGTGGGCCGAGCGACGTCGATGCGAGAAACGTCGCGCGGACGGCGAGGAAGTAGCAGTGGTCAGACCCCGTACTTTGTCGGACTCGTCGTTCTATTCTCGTTTCCGCTCTATTCTAGTTTTTTTCTATTTCTAATATTCTATTCGCGTGCGCCCGCACGTTCGCCATTCCAATTATAATCCTCTTCCGGCGAGATAATCGGAGTTTCTCTCGTCTTAAATTGAGCCTCGAATCGAGGCTGCATTCAGTTTTCCAGTTCTTTGAATTAAGGGGCTACATACGTCCAAGCGGCTCGAAGAAACGCTCGGTATTTGAATTTTTCTGCTAATCATATTATTGACTCATATTCTTGGTACATTCTTCGTACTGTTATTTTAACATATTATAGAAGGCCCATTACGAAAAGTTGATCTATAATCGCTGTTATCATCACTGCTTCCGTGAAGCTCGCTCAGGAAAAAATAGTTTTATATATAAATCAATGGTAGATATTTTCATATATAAGCAAGAATACTATAATATTCTTAGAAAGCTTTTAGTCTTGAATTGAGTGCAAGTAATTTTTGCATTGATACAAATTCAATCAGATCAAAACTAGAAATTTTCTAAAATTATAACATTCTTGCTCATATATGAAAATATTTATTCTTGATTTAAGATTAATTCTTCTTCCATGCGTCATCGCTAATCGATATCCAGAATGTCTTGGAAAATATTGGACTAATTTAGCTGTAGTTTTGTATATATATTCTTAGTAAGATTATCTTGTCCTTATCGTAGGATTTTTTGATATTATATATTTTTTTATGAACGAAAAGAGAAAAAATTTTGTGGCGAAAAATCGAATTTTTGACTTTGAATATTCATAACTTTATCAGAAATTAATATTATAAAAATCAGCTACGACAACGACTAGATAATCTTACTACGAATTTCTATGCAAAATTACGACTAAATCGATCCAATAGTTTCCGAGATATTTTGGGCACCGATTAGCGATGACGAGCTTCACGGAAGCAGTAATAACAGCGTTACATATTAACTTTTTGTAATAGATTTTATGCAATATATAAATAAAAGTATTGAAAAGATACGAAGAAAAATTGTTACGTTCAAGTAAACATTTGCTAAGGAGTATTGGAGTAGTTTATTTCATTTGAATTAAGTAAATTACTCCAATACGCTTCAGTAAATATTTATTTGAACGTAGCAATTTTTTTCTCAGTGTGGTCAGCAAAAAAATTCAAACGTCGGGCGTTTTTCGAACTGCTCATGTGTGCGTAGTCCCTTAAGACCCCTCAAGGCGGCGATTCAGTAATTTTTTATCTGAAATTGAGGCTTTTGTATCAAGGCTGAGTTCAGTTTTCCGTCCGAAAGCATGTGAAGGCACGGAAACGTGCGTGTCTCTCACCGTTCATCAACTTCTCTCCTCGGCGAGGGGAGCGGCACGGAAATTTCTCTCCTCTTTCATATTTATCTTGGCGCACTGGGAAGCTCGCGATAAAGTCGCCGAGGTGTGAACCGACTTCCTTCCTTCGCGCATTGTTAACGGCGTGGTTTCGGCCGCATATCCGTTTCGCGGAGAAAGCAGACCGGCCGGCCCGGCCGTACTTTAATACGGGCGTCCGCGCCCTTCCGGTACGAAACGTGCGGTTTCCGGCGCACGTACGATATCGGCTACGCGCCACGGCATATCGATAGTCAGTAAGAACGAGGCTCCCGCGAGCGCCGGTCGGATCGACGCACACTCCCGGTTCACTCTCGAGACCCGCGGCTTCGAGAACAAAGACCCTCGCGGAGCTAAATTCGAATTCGGGATTCCCCCGCTCGCGATTTCTCGCGAATATCGCCGCGTCTTATCGATGATCGAAGCGAATTAAAAGATAAAGAAACGAAGTCTCGCTTTGTCTCGACGGTTCCCCTGTTCGCTCGCGAGTATCGTCGCGCCTCGTCAATGAGCAGAGTGAATGAAGGAAATTCGAATTAAATAAAGGGACAGGGTTGATAGTGACAAATAATAAATCGGTGACAAGAGGGAAGAAGACGACGTGGATCCGATGTGGAGGAATAGCAGCGTGTACGTGTGTGAATATGAATTAATCAGTGCGATTAACAGTCGCCTGATCCGATCGGAAGACGCGAGGACGCGCAGGATCCCGGCAGGATCTCCTCTTATGGTGGCACCAGCTGACGGGTTCGTCATCTCCGGCGATCGCCTGGAAATACCCCGGGATTATCCGCGCATACCAAATCGGCGTGCCGGCGTTATGAAATACCAGAGTGGAATCGCTCAACGAGTTCCGAGAGGTGCGCTTTCGCATTCGATCGAATTTCCCTCCCTCTTTTCCCTACGCCGCTGAAGAGAACCTCTTTGTTCTCCGGTCTCTTCTTGCCCTGGCTTGCCCCGCATGCCTGCCTGTTTCCCTGTTGGCTCGTCGTCGCGGTCTATTACCCGCGGAGTGAAGATTTCCCGGGGCCGAAAACGTCGATGGCCTATTTCTTCCGGCGACGCCGCCGCCGCTTTGATTCCCCCTGATCGAGCACGCCTCGAAAAAGAGAAATCTAACGGCTTCGCGGTTAACACCTACGTGCGGAATGATCGGTCGAAAGGTCGGAACGACTTTTCAGCGACACGAGGTGTTTCGTAAAATTAATGTTCGCGCCAAACGTTCAGGGAAAGAGAGGGAGATAGAGAGGAGACAAGCATCATCTCGGTGAATCTTCGCGCTTTGCATCAACGTGATGCATCCCGGAACTTGCGAGAGACGATCTCCCGGATACGACGGGGTTTCTTATGTCGAAGTTTCCGACGCGCGATGTACACGGAGAAAAATAATTTGCCGGCACAGCAAAATCCGCCAATTATTTTATATGTAGATATAAACTGCTCTTATGTGAAAAGGTTCTATATAATTCCAATAAAAATATCACATTCTTGTTATTCAAGAATAATTTTCACGAACTGAGAGGAGAAAATATTCTCGATAGGAAGAACGATATCTTCAAATTGATAGCTCACTTCTTAGTTTGAAGATATTCTTTCCGTCCAATATTTTTTTCTCAGTTCATAAAAATTATTCCCGAATAACTAGAAAATGATATTTTGGTAAAACTGTATAGAATTTTTTCCTGTAAACAAGTCTTATCTTCATATCTTATCTTTATTATCTTTATTATATCTATATATATATATATATATCTTATTTACGTTATATCTATATTATGATCTTAATTTCATATAAAATAATATGTTTTTACTTATACTCGTATATAAGGATATAAGTCTTGTATTGATTAATTTTTTCCGTGTACTAAGTGCACAATAAGACGATTTGTTAAGAGTACTAATCTCCATTCGCTAGATATATTGTGCTGAATTTACAAATTATTTTTCTGCAAGAACAAATTAGTAAATGTAGGAAAAACTCTATTTTATTCTGACTACAAGTTAACCTGTCTAAAGACAAAACTTTACTGAGCAAAATTTTCCTCTATCCTGCAAAAAAATTGTTTCTGCTCCAATTACGAATAATTCGCTTGGTTATGCCAACTAAATTTCATCGCTGTCGTAACGAATATGCAATACACAAAAAAAAGGGCTAGAATCAGATAAATAATTACTCTAATACTTCTTAGCAAATTTTTATTTAGATCAAATATCCTTTACTCGATTTAAAACATTTTCCAAGTAAATTATCTAAGTAAAATATTTACTTGATCCATGTAAAAATTTACTAAGGAATTTTGGAATAATTATTCACTTGAATCTAACGCTTTTTTCTGTGTATAAACAATGGCTATAATAGTAAAATTATTCTTCTCTATGTATGTATATATTGTACACTGAGAAAAAAATTGACTTAAACTAGCGGCACACGGTGCTTGTTTTCGTGTTGAATTGCTTGCTGGATGGAAATTAGAATGCAGTAAACCAATGCAGGAAACCAATTAGAATGCAGTATTTCCATCCGGCAAGTAATTCAGTACGAAAACCAGCACTGTGTGCCGTTGGCTCTAAAAATTTATTTGTGAAATATAAAGTTTACCTCACAGAAACAAACGTTTACTTAAATATAGCAAGATAAAATTTTATTCGCAGCAAGTAAAGCAATAAATAAGAAAACTTGGGTATATTCCACAAAAATATATATTCCGTCATCACAGTCAAATTTTCTTCTAACCAATAAGTACCGAAGAGAATGTCACATCAAGAAACATTTATTTATTTCGCAAGATGTCAATTCCTTTTCCTCAGTGCACGTGATCGTATGATTTCCTAAACGGAAATTTTTTGCAACCACTGCGGCCTTGCGGTGGGGGGAGGGGGGAAGACGTTACTTATGCGCGTTACTTACGCACCCGTCAGAGATGCAAATATGCCGTAATTGCGTTACGTTACGTGCGGCGTTCCTGACGGCTAAATAAAAATAGAGGCGGAGACCGAGTCTCCTGCGCGAGAGAAACGATGACGACGACGACGGTGCACGGCGTATTGTACGGCGTGAGATAATCGCGACGCTTATCCTGGCAATGATCAACTGATCGAGCGATTTTGTTCTCTGTTGCAGCGCCGAGATCGTCGAGCGCGGGCACAAACAACCTGCCGCCGTTGACGTTTCACCACGTGCACGGCGACAACATCCGGCTGTGCAATGGCGGCACGATCGCCAGGAGGCACGAGAGCTTTTGCAAGGGTGTCACCTTTAGCGCCAGACCCGTGCGAGTGGGCGAGAAGGTGAGCGATCGCGCTAAGCGATCTAATCGCGACATTTCTAAACCGCGTTCAGCATGTCGACGTGCATGCTGATTGTGGGAAACCGGCGACTCTCGTTCCGCTCGAGGAAACCGCCGTTTACATTCCTCGGGTATTAAAACAGACTGCCGCGCGCGCGACCGTGAGCGGTCTTTTTACGTGGGTCGTTGTTTTGCATGCCGTCCGCATTAGAATTACGAACCGCCGCTGTCGCGAGACTTCGGCTTATCTCGCGTCTACTTGTAGTTAAGTAACGCGAGTAGGTCGCGTGTAACCGCGTTAAATGGCATTCTAAACGACGCTACGGACGGACGAGCGGACGTCTTCCGCAAATAACGCGGAGGCTGATCACCGTTAATGAGGCGTGGGTGGGAGCCGCGATTAGCGGCTACGAGAGACGTGCACGCTTTCGGCCCAAACACGGCGAATTTGAACTAATCGCACGGGGGACCGGGTTGTCGTCGAGGTCTCTCTCTTTCTCTCTCTCTCCCCTTCTCTCTCCGCTGAGAGTGTGTACTGTGTAAAATTATGATGACGCGCGTCCCGTGGGAGGCGTTCCTAATTAATTTGCGAGGGTGTATGCCGGGTAATTCCGTTTTAGGATCGCTCGGCTTAGCGGCTCCGTCGTGATTTCGCAAGAAGCTACCTGAGTTGAAATTCTGGCTTCTCCGCATTAATCCTGCAAATTACTTGTCGAACTTGAGGGGGCCAATGGGGAATCTCGAGGTGTTACATTACACGGGTTCTCGTTACCCACCTCGATACTGCGAATGCTCACTTATCGCCGTTCTCTTACACGTTCCGAGGCTCTTGAATAACGATTGATTTGAGAATTACATAATATTCGACATGGCCTCGATATTGTATCTGCATATTTAATCTCTCCTTAATTTGAATAAGCCAATATTATGTGAATTTTAATAGGCAATTTTAATTGCTTGCACTTTAATGTCAGCAATGTCAGCTGCGAATAAGCGATATTAATTATAAAACTCACGCGACTGCAGATAAAATATGCGAGATGAGAAAAAATAAATATTAAATAATCTCACGGAGATTAATAAAGAGAAAGTTAGAGGGGTAAATAAATCAACATATTCTTTTTATTTGTAATCCTTTTGTTTCTTTTCACGGCCGTTGAAAAAGATTCTGGGTAGATTGAAGAGAGGTGGAAAGAGAAAGGTGTTGCAAAAACGAAGATAGACAGTTATGTGTCCGACAACGTTGTGATAACACAGATTTAAATTTTGCTCGTTGTAATATTAAGGAACAGGAGTAAAAAAAATCAGCGAATGTGTAAACGAAGTGGGATTCACGGTCCAAGGAGCATTATTAATCTTACCAGCATACCAGAAATACAAATCAGAACAATAATGATCATATATTGGGTTCTAAGGTCGATATTCATAGCACGTCATTATTTGACAGATAATTATAGCTTCACGTACCTCCGATTATCGAATCGATTTGCACTTACTTCATAAGTAAGAAACATTGATTCAAATAGTTGAATAATAGCCCACATATATAAATCTGTAATTAATTATTCTCGCGATCGAGGACTGTAATTAAATAATTTATCGCAACTATGAGAAACGGTCTAAATGTCGACTCCGGTATCCCCTTACTCTTGATAAATTCGTCAAACGTTTGTTAAAATCGAGAACATCCTGTACAACAAATGATTTGACACACCTGGAAATATACGATGCATCGCTGTCTACGTTCGGTCGTCCTGCGTCCCCGGTTCTGGCTTCCCCGTCCAACGTCCTGTCGTCGGCTGCTCCGGATACTGCATTGTGGTACTGACACTGACATTGACACCGACACTCGCGCAGATTGAATCGGAGAACCGTATTAATTAATGCGATGTCGTTCGATTAAACGACTCTTAAGAGTCTACGAGAATGACAACTGGCACGCAGATACACGTGCTCCGCGTCGCGATACGTGCGTCACTCGCCAACTCGTCAACTCGAGACGTGATGACTCGGTGACGGGAAAATCCAGACGCACGACAATTGTCAAAACAATTGGCATGAATAGCAAAAATTCACTCTCCAACCGATTACTCGGCAACCGATACCCGTTTGAGACATAATGAGTTTTATTATACGGCAACGTTAATCCAGTTTAATAACAATCGTTAGTGAGCTCTTGCACATTTAATTGTTAGTACTTTTTATATTAGATCTAAAAATATACTCCAATTAAATGTAAGACGCTAAGTACGGTTGTTACTAAACCGGAACAACTAAATGTTGCCGTGTAAATATAGACAATGACTCGGACATGGAAACGTATGACAGACAGAATATCGAAACAATCGGCAAGAAGGACCAAAAACTATCGCCAACTGTCGATACCCACAAAAACAATAACACGCTCATAGTCTCGGTAGCCGAGGACCATAACAATGAACGTTTTCAAAACATTCCGCGAGTCCAGTCTTGAATTCGACGACTTCTTTTCACGCCTTACCGTTTAAAGAATTATCGTGTTACTGCACCGAATCTATATTTAAAATTCTATCGGTGCGTACCATTATTGAACACACAATTGTTATCATTTCTCATTCTTCTCAAATTCCCGAATCCTATTGAAATTTCTAGCGTCAATAAAAAATTTCTAAAGAGATTATATGAAGAGAGTGTTTGTGTTGCTTTGTTTACTTATTTACCCATTACTTTTTTCGATTATTTAATATTTATTCAAATAATTTAATAAATAATAATAATGAAATAAATTTAATCAAATATATTATATTTCTATTTGAGTAAGTTATGTAATTAATATATTACTTACTGAGAGAAATTGGGAGTAGACATTAGGTGCAAATACAATAAAAAATTTTGTTAAAAACGGTCCATTGAACTTTTATGTTACATTAATATGGGGAATGTGTTAAAAAGTAGGCAAATATCATGTTAAATTAATACATTCACCTTGTCAATATATGTTGGCAAAGCGATTATAAAAAGGATTTAAAGGACTTATTTATGAATTATTTAACATTTGATCGTATCGATGTTCTACATAGTAAAAAATTTGGTGTTAAAAACGTCCAATGAAATTGTGTTACTTTAACAAAGAGAATGTGTCATAAAACACACAAATATAATGTTAAATTAATAGTGACAGTAGGCAAATATCATATTAAATTAATACATCCACCTTGTCGATATATGTTTTACTATGTAAAACGCTGATAAAATCGTACATTAAATAATCTTTAAATAAGTCTTTCAAGAAAAGAGCCTCAACATGAAGAGAACGACAACGATTTGTACATTGTTATATTCCGCGACTCTCCATCAGTCTTAGTTAGATGAAGCTTGCAGATTTCATGTAGAACCAAAATTAAGACTCGGGAAGCACGAGAGTCTCCGCCGGGGAGTCGACTCCCTCGAAGTGTACGAATTTATGCATACACCTACGCACAAACGCGCGCACGCGCGCACGCACACACACATTAGCAACTAAATCTGGACTTTTCTCTGCAATCGTGCAGGTCTGCGTGAAGTTCCTGGAAATATCCGATAATTGGAGCGGCGTGATCCGCTTCGGCTTCACCAGCAACGACCCGATCAACCTCAGGAGCGGCTTGCCGAGGTACGCCTGTCCGGACCTAACGAACAAGCCGGGCTATTGGGCGAAAGCCCTGGCCGAGAGATTCGCCGAGCGAGACACGGTGCTTTTTTACTACGTGACCTCGGCGGGCGATGTTCACTTCGGCGTGAACGGCGAGGAGAAGGGCCTCTTCTTCAGCGGTGTGGAGACGCGGGGTCCGCTCTGGGCAATTATCGATGTCTACGGCAACAGCACGGCGATCGAGTTCGTCGATCCGAACCGGCAGCACTTCAACAACATCAGGCGGGGCGCCGAGCACAGCAACGAGGACAACGCGCAGCACAGCAGGCACTCGGCGATGGACGACGCCAGCAATGCCGGCAGGGACGTCGAAAGGATCATCGTGCCGTCCATGCAGAGCTTGTCGATCCATCATGAGCCCGATGTCGAGCTACCCGGGCTCAGGTTTCAACCCGCCGGCGTCATCTTCACCCCGCTGCCCTTCCACTCGTGAGTATCGAGCGCGATCTTTACTCGCGTTTCATCCGTGTTATCATCCCCGTTCAGCAACGAGCGTGAAGCCTTTGCCAGTGTTGGAGATTGAAACTTGACCGATCGAGAGCTGAGATCGGAGTTACTTGACTCATCGAGTTCTAATCTCTAATCTATCTAATCTGATATGAACTTGACGTGAATCTAGTTGGAGACGGAAACTTGACTAATCGAAGTTAGCTGATTCATCGAGTTCTAATCTAATTAATCCGAGAATACTTGACGTAACCTCTTGAATATTGAAAGTTACAGCGAATTCGATCGCCCGCATCGGATTAGCGCGCACTAAAGGCCGTTACACACAAAAGATCCAGTTACAATAGAATAACATAAGCCTCTGACGTTGAAATGATCTCTGTATATTTTGTTAAATAACGTGACGCTATCATCATTAGGTGTTTCGTTCAAAATATTTGTATACTTTTTTATTTAAACGACTACTTTGTGAAGTAGAGTCCCAAATATAAATAGAGAAGCGACATTTAGTTCGACACATCGATAGTCGTTCGATATATATCAAAAGTCGGCCATCTTTTTTCTACGGTGATATTTCGGCCCGGTTTTTTTTTTGATTAACTAATAATATAGGCTTAATCTAATGATAACATACAAATTATGTTTTCTATTTATATTTAATTAAATTTTAAAAGTTACCACTACAAAACCGTTAGTTTAATAATAATCATGAATAGGAAAACACAATTTTTGCATTTTTATCAGTTTAAGTTTAAACAACCATAAGTTAACCAGAAAATGAAAAACCAGGCCCAGGGTGATTTTCATAAATCTCGGTTCGGTTAGCCGACGCGGTTAACTCAACGGTATTGACCAATTACATTGATCAGTTCAGCTAATTGGCCAATGCGATTGGTCGATTCTGTTCAGTTAACCGCGGCTAACCGAATCGAGGTTTATGAAAATCACCCTGAGGCCTGGTTTTTCATATTCCAGTTAACTTGTGGTTTAAACTTAAACTGATGAAAATGCAAAAATTGCGTTTTTCTATTCATGATTAAAGATTGGTGAAAGTTACTCTCAGAGCAAGCAAGGAAGTTGGTCTGTTCTTTTCAGCAGAACTGGCTGCACTAGTTCAAGAAATTTACATGCATATTGAAGCATATGAAGCGTATATATGAGATTTTCATGCTCCAGTGTGCGTAAATTTCTTGAACTAGTGCAACTAACTCAGTTGAAAAGAACAGGCTAGATGAGAGAAGGAAGATGAGTAAGAAAGGTTAGGTTGCCAGAGGTTGCACCTCGATAACTAATCTGAGTAAGGATACTCTTTCCATACTTTGTAGCTACTTGTTACAACTCGGCAAATTAAAAAGGATCTTTTAAGTCATGATGTACTAAAAAAGTATAACAAATGGTATAATTTAATATAAAATTATAAGAAAAAATATAATTCTGAGAAAACGTGACGCCCGGGTTATGTGGCTATACTTAGGCTATCCAAGCTAATCAAACCGACCCTGCTCAATGTCGCTTCTCTATTTATATCTCTCTAATGTGAAGCAGCCTTTAACCAAACCGATGTAGTTCGAGTGCTCGAATTCTCTATTAATTGATCGAACAAAAATCGGAGTTAGTTGATTCATCGAACTTTATAATATCTAATCCAAAATACTTCGGCTGGTATTCTTAGATTGCGATCCGATTCACACTTACATCATTCTATCTTTCTTTGGTATATGGTATGGTATATGGTATGGTATATAATGAACAATAACGATAGAACGACGCTTACAGCGTTGTAAGCTTGAATCGGACCGCAGCCATAATTAGATCTTATATGCGGTCTAATTCATGCTAGCACTGTAAGCATCATTATTTCTTTGGCGTGCAACGAATAACAAAGGCAGAATGATGCTTACAGTACTGTAAACGTGAGTCGAACTGCAGTCTAAGACCATCTTATGTTCATCTTTGAATATTTCGTAGCCAATGAAATGAGCCGTGCAGCATCTGAAGATGAACTTGAGATGATCTTATACATGAATACCAGCCTTAGACTCGTATTCATAGTCTTATTTATAAGACCGTCTTAAGATCATTTCATTGAACTGTATAACATACGGAAGGAACACTGACGTGGTGAAACCTGTGTAAACAGGCTTGTAAGACAAAAGCCATGTCTAAGTAGTATCTCGCTCTCTGTCTTACTAACATACTATATAGTGTGTATAGGCTCAGGCAAGACAAAGACGGGCACAAACAGATCAAGACGGGGATACTACTTGGATACTGTCTCTCTCGGTACGAGGTCATCTGGCAGAAACAAAAGCTTCTTCTCGAGTTTGTTATATAGTTCAATGGTTCATCTTCAGATGCTGTACGGCTTATTTCATTGCTACGAAACATCTGAAGATGAGCTTAAAACGGTCTTAAATATAAGATAAATATAAGATCTGACTATGAAGACCGGCCTTAGTCCTATATGGGTCGGTATTCATAGTCAGATCTTACATTTAAGACCGTCTCGAGTTTATCTTCAGATACTGTACGGCTCATTTCATTGGCTACGAAACATTCTGAATTTAAGACGGTTTTAAATATAAAATTTGATGAATACCGGCCTTAGTTCAACATGGATCGGTATTCATAGTCAGATCTTATATTTAAGACCGTCTTAAGTTTATTTACGGCTCATTTCATTGGCTACGAAACATCTAAAGATGAACTTAAGACGGTCTTAAATATAATATTCGACAAATCGGCCATAGATTTGGCGTAAGTTCAGTGAAAGAGATTATCGCGCTCGCTGAGCTCATTTACCTCTTATCACTGATTTCCCCGACGATTCGCGTGAGAATAGATTCGGCCGATTTTTTCCCCGTTCTGGAATGCCGCTCGCGCGCGCATTCACTAATTACGAGCCGCCGCGCTACGCAATCCGCTATCGGTCGCTGAAGAGCGTCGCTACCGGCGAACGGGCCGCGCACTCAGCGCGATTATTTCGTTCCACTGGTGGAAAGGGTCGCTAAAGCGTGGTCTACAATGAGCAGTAGGAACATGTTCATAAGAAGTAAGAAGAAATAAGAAATTGACCAATCATATTCGAATGTAAGGAGAATAATCTACTGTGATTGGTTAATTTCTTACCCTATCTTCGTGTAAACATACTCCCGCCGCTCAATGTGGACCACGTTGAATCGACACGACTTGCCGCGCGCAGAGGTCGAGAGTCACCGGTCGCGATGAGGGCGTCGGACACGCGATTCGCCGTTCAGCCGCGCTGAACCAATTCGTTGTTTCCACTTTTCACGGTTTCCCAAGAAAACGCCCGTCATTAGCGAGAGCGCCGTCCCGCGGTAACCGCTTCCTGGTTTTCTTTCGCAGCACACGGGGCAGGAACATCCGCTTCAGCAACCAGCAGTGCGTGGCGACGCGCACCGACACGGAATTCTGTCACGGCTACGCCTTCACGAGCCGGCCGTTGCTGCTGGGCGAACGGCTGGTCGTGCAGATCCTCTCCACCGAGCCGATGTACGTAGGCGCCCTCGCGCTCGGCCTGACCTCATGCGATCCCGCGCGGCTCTCTCCGGACGACCTGCCGGACGACAGCGACCTGCTCCTGGACCGTCCCGAGTACTGGGTAGTCTCCAAAGACGTGGCCTCCAGTCCCCAGCCCGGCGACGAGATCGCCTTCACGGTGACGCATTACGGCGAGGTGCAGATGAGCAAGAACGGCGGCCCGCCGAACGTCGTCATGCACGTCGACCAGAGCCTGCAGCTTTGGGCCTTCGTGGACGCTTACGGGAGCACCCAGAGGGTCAGGATGCTGGCCAGCCGACCGACATCCCCGCCACGGCAACGTCAGAGCAACCCTTCGCCGGCCAGTATCGCCCAGCAGCAGCAGCAGCAGCAGCAACAACACTCGAATCACAGCAACGCCGCGACGGAACTCTCCCGATTCTCGGAGATGGTGCAGTTCAAGCCGGCGGTGGGCGGCGGCACCGTTCTGGTCGTCAACCTGCCACCTCAGGCTGGCTACCCTACCCCGCCGCCGCCGCCCACGCCGCAGCCGGTCTACGCGTCGGCGAACGCGCACGGCAGAGGCGCGCAGCAACCGGCGCAGCAGCAACAACCGGCCCAACACCTGCCTTCGTCCACGGCGCCCGCGCCACATCCGGGTTCCTCCAGACAGTCCTCGCCGCCGCTCACCGGCACCATGGCCAGCACCGGCTCGTCCACGTACGTGGACCCGGTCACCTACCAGAGCCTGGACGGCGGCACCCTGACCGCGTCCTCGCACGCTTCGTCCCACTTGCAGCAGTGGAGCGAGAGCCTGCAGCCGACGCTGACCGGCCAGCCGAGCGAATGCTCCATCTGCTACGAGAGGAGCATCGACAGCGTGCTGTACATGTGCGGTCACATGTGCATGTGCTACACCTGCGCGATCCAGCAGTGGCGCGGCAAGGGCGGCGGCCACTGCCCGCTCTGTCGCGCGCCGATCCGCGACGTCATCCGTATCTACCGGTCCTGAACGTCGTCCCGGCCGGGGAGACGAGCGTGAACGTTTCCCCCCCACCGCCGCTCGCGTCCAGATCATCATCGTCGTCATCACCGTGCTTCCGTCGTCGTTTCCTTCCGCGCGTACCCCGCCGCGGTTCATCGGAGTGCTTCTCGCTTCTTCCGCTACCACCAGGACCAGCGTCGGAACAATCGCGAGGCGCCGCTTCCTCACACACTGCCGACGATTTTCGTCGATTGTTTTTTCTACTGAACGCCCGAAGACGAACGCTTCGAAGCGCGCTCATCTCGCCACCCCCCGGGAGCTCTCCGTGAGGCGGGTCGCTCTTCCGCGAACGAGAGAAGCAACGACCGCGCGAGCTGGGCTCGACCGAGCCGAACGTCATTCTCGCGACGCGCCTCTGTCAAGATCGTGTCACTGTCAATTAACGTGCCAATTAAAACGAGGGGCGCGCGGACCACCACCTGCGCGAGGAAAGCAGCGGTGCTTGCTTTCGGGTAATCGCGATCACCACTGCCGCAGTTTGCGAGATCGAGCGAGAACGCGGAGATGAGTCACCGCGAGTTCTATTGTATGAGAACGAAAGTGAGAAAGAGAGAGAGAGAGAGAGAGTGAGAATGTGTATATGTGTTGGAAGGAGAGAGACCAGCGTAATTAGCTGTAGCTGATCGAGTTGCTGCTTGTTGTACCGATGATATCCTGTCAAGTCCTGCCGTGCGAATGCGTGAGACGTGTGCAAGTGAGTGCGAGGATACGCGCAAAAAAGAGATAGATCGATTTTAGATATTTTCACAAGCGACATAATCGTCACTACCATTACCAATTACTATTACTACTATTACCGCTCTGATCTATCGCTATTAGTACTACTACTATTACCACTACTATTACTACTATATTACTACTACTATTACTACTACTATACCGTACTACTCTTCCAGCCTTTTAATTATTTTATTATTTTGCTATTATTATTATTTTTTTTTATTATTAACTCTATCGCTACTATGTATTAATTATTATTATTATTATTATTAGTTATTCGTTCACATTGTGTAATTGTCTTTATTATTCGCGAGCAGCTTCATTTGCCACGATCGCTATTATACTTTCACGATTGCCGAGATTATAGTGATGGTTGGTGAATTAACATAGTCACTATACATATAGCGTGATTATTATTTAATGGACCGTGTGATTACGTTGAACGAACTTTCAGACGCCTGGAGCGCTTCTTCGAAGAACGAGCTCGTGTTCGCGCCCCCCCTCTCCCGCGACGTAAGCGAAGGGAATCTCGTCCGGTTGCGGTTTCAATGGATGAGAGAACGCGAGCGGGCTCTCGAGACACACTCAGATATTGTCCGTTCGCATCTCCTGCCGCGTGTTCGTGCTTCCGTCTCGGACGGTAATACACGAGAGCGCCCGACGTGCGTCGTGTCAGGCAGACCTTTACCAAAGATCCTGATCGTTTCCAGTCTGCGTTACTTCGTCATCCGCACGTTACTTCGCGACAACACCCCGATGATCAGAGACCGCGCAATAAGCGACGAGATCGCTTTCGTTTGATCGACTTTTCTACCTAGTTAACACGTTCGAGACATTCACTCACGTGATCGTCGGAAGATTGCGGAGCATTCCTCAGCGTTGTGAGGATGTTCGCTTCAAGGTGATACAGTCACGATCAGCGAGATGTCTCGAGTCTCTTGTAGACGCACGGGTTTCGCTCGGGAGCAGCAGCGCGCTCGACGAGTCCGCGTGATTATCGCGAGATTTCCTTTTGAATATTTTTCTAATCCGACGGAGTTCGGAACGAAGAGAGGTTAGAAGGAAGTCTCGGTTCCAAGCTCCGCCGCCGGGTTTCCGCGTGGTTCCGCCTCCTCGCGTCGACGAGTCGCGTCAATTCGTTGGGAGAACTCGAGAAAATGATGTCGAGAAAACGGGGCGACGTTGTCTCGTTGATTCCCGGCCGAACTTGAAAGCTTGGCGCTGCTCTTCGGGGCTGTCGTGCCTCGTAGAGGTTTCTTCATTCGTCTTTGTAGGGAGATGAATGAACCTTCGTAGGAAAGATCTCCCGGCAACGGAAACGCGTGCGGCGTCCTTCGACCCTCACGAAAGCGAGAACGTTGGCTGTTTTGCGCGACAATCGTCCGCATTTTATTTCGCGACGCGCCCTTTCCCGAGAAGCGCGAGAGGGGACGGCGAACTTTCTGCGAGTTTGTAGAGATTGAGAGAGAGAGAGAAAGAGTGTGTGTGTTTTTGAACGAGACGAGACGATTTCGAGCCAAAGGCAACGAGGTGTCTGAACCCTTAAGAAAAAGAAAAAAAATTAACTCTTAGCGAGGAGAAGAGGAGGCGATCCTCTCTCGATTATAACTAACGGATGCGCAATAAAGCAGTAGTGAAATCTCTAGTCCAGCGAACGGCGGATTTTAGGCCGCCAATCCAAAAAGATGACGAGCGTGAAGTACGAGGTGTAGAGCTCTGTCCTTCTCCTGGAAATGAACGGAGAAGGAAGAAAGAGAGAGAGGTAGACACACGAAGCGAGAGACAGAGAAAGCGAGAAAGAGTGAGACCGAGAGATTTTATAGATTACGAAAGAGAGAGACGCGAATTATTGCCTGTGCCGAGCCAGACGGCGCGTTCGCGATTTTATTAAAATGAAAAAAAAAATGTTATAACGATAGGGACGATTATTATTATTATTATTATTATTCTATTGGTACGACGAGAATGGGAAAATAGTTCCAGATCGTTGCTAACGAGGTGACAAGGATAGAGCGAGGAGAAATTAGAGAGAGAGAGAGAGAGAGAGAGAGAGAGAGAGAGAGAGAGAGAGAGACGCTCATGGTTAATCATTACACGACGAATGCTTACGATTTACTCATCGTTATCGTCGCGCTCGACGCGATTAGTTGTCGTTTATACCGTTCGTAAGCTTGTCGCCGCGTCTTCGACATATTGTCATTTGCTCTACTTACGTTTCTTACTTTGATCTGCTATATTCGCCCTTATTATTATATTCTTATCAACGTACGACTCTATTGTGCGACTAACGGCTATTTAATTCGACGTTAATTACGGAATGCATATTCGCGAGCGAGAATATCGATGTGTTTCTTTTTCTTTCGTTTTTCGCCTTGCCAACGTCCATATATATATATATATATATATATTTATATTATTATTATATATATATATATATATATACACATATATATATAGGTTTCACTATCCCCCCTCCCGCCCTCTCACGTGTCACACACACACACACACACACACACACACAATAAACAGGTGACAGAGAGAGACAGAGAGACGACAAATACTCGCAATTTTTACACACCGCCATGACAACATATTCTACCACGACCGATGAGGAAGAAAAGGAAAAAGAAAAATTCTACGACGCGATGAGAGTTTCTCCGACCGTAATGTAAAGATACGCCGATGGAAATTTATACATATGTAATATAATTCGTGCGCAGCTGCGTGCTGTTCTACACAATAAAAAGCCTATAATATCTCTGAATCATACGCCGTCTCGTCTTTGCAACCCCTCTCTGCCTTCCTCCAGAATTCTCCCGAGAACTGGGATTTAATATGTGCGACGCACATAAGCAGATATTCGAATCCGCGACTGAAAAATCTCCCATCACGGAGCGAATTCTCTTATTTCTTTCCTTTTTTTTATACAACACGAGGGCGCACTAAGGCGTGTAAATCCGTCGCGAGATCCCGATGGAATCAGTTATTTCGTGGAGAGGACTGAATCCACAGGTATCCCGCGACACGTCTATAATAAAGCGATATACAAAGGACATGTACAGGAGGACAAAACGATGTACAAGTGTATGCGTATAAAATAAAATTGTAAATAAAAAGTCAAAATGAAAAGTGTAAATATATAAAATAAAGAGAGAAAAAACGATCACACGCGACGTTCGTTCATCCCACCGGAGTGCACACGTTCTCGGTGCGTGCGATTCTCGCTGCAAATAAATAAGCTGTCCGAAGGGCTCTTAAAGTTCTTCCTCTCCGATATCAGGAGAATCCGCGGCGACTTCTTTATAGTCTTTCTCCAACGCCGCCAGGTCCTCCCTGGCTTCATTGAACTCGCTCTCGTCCATATTCTCAGCGATGTACCTGACGCGAAGCATTACTATGAAAATCGTACGACGAGACCACGTGGTAAAAGATTTTTAACTGATCGCATGTCGCAAATGACCCGCTCAAATTTTGCTGTTAATTTGACACACTATGTTGAAAAATATCACATTATATCAACAATTAACACAAAATTAATATGTTAATCGACACTGAAGTATAAAATGTGCTATTTTAACACATATATTAATTAATATATTGAAAATCGATGAAACACAAATTGAAATAATACGAGGGTGGATCAAATATAAACGAGCCTTTTTAAATTGTGCGCCCGTCGGTGGCGTAAAGGGTCTGCAATGTTTTGGACAGTGGAGGGGGGTCATGTGGAAGGCAGTAATAATGTTAGCGCGCCACATGCTTCTTACTCTCAGCAGTAATCACGATGAGCGAGAAAAAGGTACACCCCGCAGTTGCACAACGTGTTATTATTACGTTTCTCGTTAACGAAAATATAAATGCTGCTGAAATTCGGCGCCGTTTATTCCCACAATTCGGAGAAAGAACCCTTTCATGGGCTCGAATGAAGTAGTTGTATAACGAATTTAAAAAAGGACGGGAGCGTGTTGAAAACATCCCCGCACCAGCATCACAGCGCAGAACACCGAGGCCGTTTCGAGAACTCATCGAAGGCGATCGGCACTTAACTGCTCTTGAAATCTCTCAGAAACTTCAGTCCGAGCTGCCTATCGGTCAAAAAGGCGCGGCATTCCGATCAGAAGTGTGTTGCTTCTCCATGATAACGTCAGACTCCACACCACAGCAGTAACACAACAAAAATTGGCCGATATGCACTGGACTGTCCTAGAACATCCACCCTACAGCCCAAACCTGTCACCATGCGACTTCCATATGTTTGGGCCATTAAAGGAAGCCCTTGGTGAACAGCGCTTCACAACGAACGAGGAGGTGTAGCAGTTCGTGTGCAATTGGTTTGATACACGTCCGCGAACTTTTTATGATACCGGGATTAAAAAATTACCAAGCCATTGGAGGAAGTGTATAGATAAGATGGGGGATTATGTAGAAAAACAAGAAAAATGTATGGTTTTTTGCAAAAGGCTCGTTTATATTTAATCCACCCTCGTATAAACACAATATGTTAAATTAACATACGGGTATGTTAAAAATAAAAAAAAATTATAACGAGGGCCGATTTTAACACAAGTACAAAATGTTTTTTTATGATGCGCGCCTAATCCTAATCTCGCAAAAATAGGGCACGATGAAAAACATACGGCGTCAGTAGTCAACGCGTAAATTTACACAGTAAGAAATTTTGTATTAATAACTGAAATTTGGTGTTATTTTAACATGGGGGATGTGATAAAAGATAAATAAATATAATGTTAAATTAACAAATTCACTTTGTCAATGTATGTTGTTACCACTTGTCAATATATATTTTAACACATTCCCATGGTAAATTAACACAAAATTTCAAATCGTTTTCAACGCAAATTTTTTACTATGTAGGTTTCGATGTATATCTTTTTATACAGAAAAAAATTAGTTTTAAAGCTCCGGAATAATCACTACGACTTCCTTGTTTAATGACGTCAGAAGTGAAAAAACGGGAGGCCAAGATTTTTTGCGCTATATATTCAAATAAGAGGATATATTCACAAAATGACATTTGTGGTCGATCAAATATACTTGTAAAATTGGACGAAAACTTTTCTTCTACTCGAACAATTAATAAATAGCGGCAAAATTAATTTGAACCTTCTTTTAAAATTAATACGGAACCTTCTTTTCCAATCTCTTTTCTCATGATTCTGTCAATGTTAATTTCACGAATACTTATTGATTATTCGAATAAAAGAAAAGTGTTCGTCTAATTTTACAAGTTTGCTGAATCGATTACAAATATTATTCTGTGGGTACATCGTTTTATTTGGAAATATAACGCAAAATATTTAAGTTTTCTCGTTTCTGACATCATTAAATAACGACTACTGGGCCTTAAATCAAGAACATGGATATTCTCATATATAAGCAAGATTATACATAAGATCTTCCTAGAAGATTTTTAGTCTTGATTTGATTGAATTTGTATTGATGCAAGTATTACTTGAACTCAATTTAGGACTGAAAATCTTTTAAGAAGATTATAATATGTTTACTTATATACGAGAATATCTGTTCTTGATTTAAGACTATTTTTTTCTATACATCTCTTGTACTTTCATCTTATGTGAATAAATACGCGTGATTGGCTATACGTAAAGTGAAAATATAATACTTCCGTGACACCGTTTGATATCATTCGACACGAGATTACCTATCGAGCAGTCTCACTGAGATACATCATGTTTTTATGGGTGAAAGTTATTCAATCCAAAGGAATGCTCACTTTTGTGATTCTCACCATTTTTTGAGATACACAATCGACTCCCTATATAGTAAAAAAATTTGTAATACAGACAATGATACACCGAAATTTTTGTGTTACGTTAACATAGGGAATATGTTAAGAAGTATATACAAATATATAAAGTTAATCTTATATTCAGCTTGCTAACATATTACTTTTTAACATATTTACGCATTAGGTGAAAATATGTTCCGGTGTTAAAAACAAATTCAACCTGTAGTTTTAACATATTCACTTTGGATGGATCGTTTGTATCACAAAATTTACTGTGTAACTTCGCGAAGTGAGAATCTATATCAGGAATATTTACCAGTGCACGAACGCTCGTTTGCTGAACATCAGATCGAATTTCCGATTCAGCCGGCCCCACGCCTCGGCGATGGCTGTGGTGTTCGCCAACATGGCCATGGCTCGTTGCACCTTCGCGAGGTCTCCGCCCGGCACCACAGTTGGCGGCTGATAATTGATCCCTACCTGTCATTCCGACACCGAAGCCGATCAGTCAGTTGAATTTAAGAAAAACCGAGTTAGAAGGGTGAAAATTTCACGATTCGAGTAAATAGTTATTTTACGCCGCCCGAATCGCGAGTCGCGAAAAGGGACCGAACGATTAACCTTGAATCCGGTCGGGCACCAATCGACAAACTGTATCGACCTTTTCGTCTTGATGGTCGCGATAGAGGCGTTCACGTCCTTCGGGACGACGTCGCCTCGGTACAGCAAACAGCAGGCCATGTACTTGCCCCTGCGTGGGTCGCACTTGACCATCTGCATGGCCGGCTCGAAGCAAGCCGAGGTGAGCTCCATCACCGTCAACTGCTCGTGGTAAGCCTTCTCGACGGACACGATCGGCGCGTAAGTCGCCAAGGGGAAGTGTATTCTAGGATAGGGCACGAGGTTGGTCTGGAACTCGGTGAGGTCGACGTTGAGGGCGCCGTCGAATCTCAGCGACGCCGTGATCGACGAGACGATCTGGCCGATCAGCCGATTCAGATTCGTGTAGGTCGGCCGCTCGATGTCGAGATTACGCCGGCAAATGTCGTAGATCGCTTCGTTGTCCACGAGGAACGCGCAGTCCGAGTTCTCCAGGGTGGTGTGGGTCGTCAGGATGGCGTTGTACGGCTCCACCACGGCGGTGGAGATCTGCGGCGAAGGGTAGATGGCGAACTCCAGCTTCGCCTTCTTGCCGTAGTCCGTCGACAGACGGTCCATTAGCAGACTGGCGAAGCCGGAGCCGGTACCGCCGCCGAAAGCGTGGAAGATGAGGAAGCCCTGGAGGCCGCAGCACATGTCGGCTATCTTGCGGATCCGGTCGAGCACCAGGTCGATGATTTCCTTGCCGAGGGTGTAGTGACCGCGCGCGTAATTGTTCGCGGCGTCCTCCTTGCCGGAGATCAGTTGCTCGGGGTGGAACAGCTGGTGGTAGGTTCCCGTGCGCACCTCGTCTGAGGATGAACGATCGATCGATCGACAAGTTCGCGAGATAGAAGAAAATCTTGCAACGAAGAACGAGCAGCTTCGGCATTCCGAATGGAATTCGGAATTTTATTCAACTCAATTGCCGCTCAACCCTTGAAATTTCGCGGAATGAAGTTACTCAAGTAAGAATGAAGACAAAATCTTGTCGAAGTGAAAGTGGCAGAGTTCGGCAGAACGTTTATTTGATAACTGTTGAAAGTTTTCCGCGCTGAGATTGGACTTATTTTTCTAGCGATCTATTCTTTTCAGCTGCACTGTTGAAACAATTTAGAGCGAGACAAGTATATTTTATATCTCGTTCTAACTTATTGTACCAATTCAGCAGTGCAGCTAAAAAGAATAATTTAATCTCAGTATGATGGAAAACTTCAAATAGTTGCAAAATAAATGTTCTGCTGGATGTAGTCAATACCGCCACTCGAAATTGCAAGAATGAACTCAAATTGTTAACCGACATTCAGAATAGAAAAATCTCAGATTCTTATTCCATATGAGCAAAATTAGATAAGTTCATTTTTATTTTTAGCTATTAAGGCTCCGGAGTAGTCGCTGTGACTAGTCTTTGCTTAATGACGTCAGAAGTGAGAAAACGCATGACAAGATTGTTTGCGTTATATTTTCAAATAAAATATTTCAAATAAAAAGATATACCCACAAAATGACATTTGTGATCGATCCAGCACACTTATGAAATTGAACGAACACTTCTTTTATTCGAACAATCAATAAAAATCCAATAAATAGTCGCAAAATTAATTTGACATGGAACTTTATTTTCCAATCTCTTTTCTCATGATTTTGTCAATGTTAATTTTGCGACTATTTATTGATTACTCGAGTAAAAGAAAAGTGCTCGTCCAATTTTACAAGTTTGCTGAATCAATCACAAACATTATTTTGTGGATAAACCTTTTTATTTAAAAGTATAATGCAAAAAATCTTTGCATGTTTTCTCGCGTCTGACGTCATTAAACAAGAACAATCACAGCGATTACTCCGGAGATTTAAATTAATAAAAAAAAAAAAAATTAAAATTAAAAAATTTAAACTAAAAGTTAACTAATTAATTAATTAATTAATTAACTTTTAGTGTAATTTTTTTAATTTTATTTTTTTAATTATATTAATTAATTAATTAATTAGTTAATCTATTAATTAATTAATTAATTAGTTAACTTTTAGTTTAAATTTTTTAATTTTAATTTTTTTTTTTTTTATTAATTTAAATCTCCGGAGTAATCGCTGTGATTGTTCTTGTTTAATGACGTCAGACGCGAGAAAACATGCAAAGATTTTTTGCATTATACTTTTAAATAAAAAGGTTTATCCACAAAATAATGTTTGTGATTGATTCAGCAAACTTGTAAAATTGGACGAGCACTTTTCTTTTACTCGAGTAATNTATATATATTAATTAGTTAACTTTTAGTTTAAATTTTTTAATTTTAATTTTTTTAATTTTTATGTTAAGTTAAAAGTTATGCAATATCATATATGTGTATATATATATATATATATATATATATATAAGTTTTACTTATTATGTGTATATATTTATAAACATATAATAAATAAAACTTTTTTATCACATATTAAATTTATCTGAAATAATGACGAAATAGTCTATCACAAGAAAATATCAATTGTTTTGTGTTCAGGATTCAAGGAAAAAAATTTGTTGATGTTAGTTTTGATTTTTCTTATTTTTTATTAAGCAGCTTAGGGGCAATGATTTTAATATTGACAAATTACTTTAACTTATATAAAAAAGTTAATAAATTAAAGTTAAATATATTTTAAATAACTAGTTTAAATTAAAGGTTAACTCACTTAAGATTAACTAAGATTAACTAAATTAAGTTAAAAGTTATTAACTTTTTAACTTCATAAATTAATTTTTTTTTAGCGGTACGTGAGTACTAGACATGATGTGGTCTGTAAATAGGCCGCATGATGCGTAGGTTTCTCCCCGGGAAATATCGGACTACCCTATACATTAACTTTTAATTGATCAATTAGTTATTACCCAACCTTGAATACGAGCGAATTTCTATCAATTAGAGTGAATTCGTTCCTCTTATGATGCAGGTAATAAAATCACTCTGCAATGTCGAATAAAAGTATCCACTTAATAATTCAGAATAGAAAATTTACCTTGTACGAGTAAAAAGTCGCTTGAATTCAAGTAGCTCGGCTGTAACTCTATTTTTCAAGCGGAATTCCGCCCGAACATATTATAGAGAACGTTATCACTCGGACATCATGAACAATTTACCTATCACTGTGGGTTCGAGGTCGAGGAAGACGGCTCGGGGCACGTATTTGCCGCCGCCGGTCTCGCTGAAGAAAGTCTGAAAGCCTTCGTCGCTCGCGCAATTTTGCGGCGGCAGCATACCGTCGGGTTGTATGCCGTGTTCCAGACAATACAGCTCCCAACAGGCGTTGCCCATCTGCACGCCTCCTTGGCCGATGTGTACTGAGAGTACCTCACGCTGTCGTTTTTTTTTTTTTCGGATCGAATTAGCCTATCTTATCGGACATCTGTCTCGCAATTGCTTCGGTATAATTGTGACTTCCGAACGTCCTACGTCCGGAATCATTACGAGATCGGGATACCCGTTTCGCCCGTTTTTGATTTAGTGGTTGCAAACCGCGAGAAAATGCGAGACCGGTAATCGTCGAATTATTTCATTGATTTTACGATATATGCGATATTTACCATATTGGGAACGGAGAATTGATTTGCAGCCGGAGGTGGGATAAACGAACAACGTTGGATGGTCGGGCGTCGAGATCGAACTGACGAGACGATATGTTTTGTGTTTTTGTTTACGTTGCCCGGAGAAACGACAGGAATCAGCATGAGAATCTAGGAGGCTTGAGTAAACATTTTTTTTTCGAAGCAAAATAAGCATGTGCGCCGCGTTACAAAAAATTCAAATCGATTGAGAAGGAATGAGGGGATTTCGCGACTCGCTACGGAATGGAAGGCGTGGTTTCCGTTAGTTAAAAGTTACGTATGCGAATTTAACAATAAATCTCGCCTCGACAGGCTGAAAAAGAATTTTGCATTAACAAAGGGTTGCCACCCCCGTACCAGGTGCATTTTTGGATACTGCAATCGTGGACGAGGTGGCCGAGAGGTTAAGGCGTTGGACTGCTAATCCAATGTGCTCTGCACGCGTGGGTTCGAATCCCATCCTCGTCGATAAACTTTTTTTGTCGCACTCAAGGAAATGCTTTTGTAGTCTAGGAACGTATCTGAGAGTCGATGAATCGTTGACACCATACGTAAAAACTCGTAACTGCAAGTAAAAAGAAACTAAAAATCAAAAACGCGGAGAGTACTATGGAGAGAATATAAATTTTTCGTATATTTCTTTTTTCTTGGAGTTACATATTAATTAATAATACATGCGTATATATATGCGTATATGTTACTTCAATAAACAATTAGAAAATTTATAACAATATAAATGCGTATATTATTGTTTCTTGTTATCATCGAACCTATTCTAAAAGGCACCGATTAGCACTTGGACATTGGACTTAGCTTTTTATCCGGGAAAACATTTCTTATATATAAATATATACAGAATATGTCTATACATATATAATTATATATTAATATATATATGTATAATCATATACATAATTCGTAATATGTATTTTTATATACGCGTTTATATATAATCATATATAACTGTATATCTCTCTCTCTCTCTCTCTCTCTCTCTCTCTCTCTTTTTCTCCCTCTCTATATCATCGCTTCATATATAATTATATACAGTTATATATAATTATACCTAATTATATATAATTATATTTAATTCTATAAAATATAGAAAATTTTTTCCCAGGTAATTAATCGTATTACTCATAAATTAATAACNATATGGCTTGCGAAAATAGTATCTTCATTCGAGACTATTATGTTATTATTCGAGATAATATATTTGATTAATACGTGACCGAACACACACAGCATATACGTGGCGCATCAACGTGCGCGCGAAATTTTCTTGCTCTTGTCGTTCTCGATGGGCGGTGGCGGTCCTTTGGCGTTTTGGTGTCGACTGTACACGCTGCAAAAAGCGACAGGTGACGTCGAAAAACTCATCTTTCGCGTCTACGTTTCACCTGATCAATAACTACGTCAATCTTCTCAAATCGCACACGCCGACGACGACGACGACGACGAAGAGAAAAAAGAATTCGCGAGAAAATGGTGCACGCGCGATTCGAGACGACTGACGTAGCTGTCGATCGTCCTTGATGATCGTCGGGACGATCAGATCTGATGATGATACGGGCACTTACTATCGATAAGTTTCCGACCGGATGTAGTCCATAACGTGAGATATGCCCACTTGCAGCTGGTCGCCGATTGGGGTGACCCACGGGTTGAACTCCATCCGGAACACCGCCTTGTTACCCACCAGATCCAAGTTCCCTGCGAGAACATCGACTAATAATAACAATAATAATCTTTACTAACGGGGTGCTCTTTTAGTACACAGAAAATGTAATTTCGCAAATAGAAAGACAGTGAAAAACAACACAGGTTTTTATAGACGCAATTTATACAAAGATTTGCAGAATGGAACGTCGAAAAACGGATGGTGTCAGAGAGAAATTTAAAAAGTCAGAGACCGAATTCGCAACTAAGCAGAATTTATTTAAGTTATAGTCAAGTTAAAAAAAAGAATACGAAATATCCGCTTCATCGCCACCGTCGCGATCGATCGAGTCGCTTAACACGTTTGCCTCTATCTATCTATTTATCTGTTTTTCTTATCTATTTATCTATCTATCTACCTATTTCGGGCGGCAGCACCGTCAAACGATTGCCCTGGATATGCAACTCCCTGAGACGAGTCAGCTCCCCAATCTCTTTCGGCAACTCGACCAGATCATTCTCCCTCAGCACGAGCTAAAAACAGACATCAATCAAGAGACTCGCACGTAAATGAACCCTTTTCGCGAGGAATGAGGAAAAAATGAGGATGAATCATAAAAGGGGGATTCTTACAATTTGGAGATTCTTCAGCTGGCCGATTTCGGGCGGCAAGTACTCGAAATCGTTATCGGCCAAATAGAGAGCTCTTAGGGTCTCTGAGGAGAAGAGAAAAATTAAAACGCGCGATTCGCGAGGAAATTACGATCGGTCGACCCTAAGACTAACCCATCATGAAGAAGTTGCCGGGCAGATTCTTCTCGCTGAGATTGTTGTACGTGAGATCCAACACCTCTAGGACCGGAAACGCGCCGAAGCCGCGGGGAAGCACATCCAATCGGTTCATTCTGCGATTCGAAAGAAAACGGGTGGGTGTTCGTCGCGCGACGATTTTAGTTAATAAAGTGCGCGCACGCGTTTTTACGGAAGCCGTTTACCGACCCGACGTTGAGGATCCGCAACTTCGGCATTTGCGACAGCGAGATGGGCAGCTCGGTGATGTGATTGTTGAAGAGATTCAAAATTTCCAGGTTGACCAGATTTGCGAGACCCGGTGGCACCGCTGTGTATTACCGGAAAAAAGCGGTCGTCGGCGTGATCAATCGATTCGGACGGATGCAATGTAGCGTTAACATTCCGCATGCGGAGAATTACGTAAGGGCTTTACCTTGAATCTTATTGTGACTTAACGTCAGCCTCGTTACATTGATCATGTTCACTGAAACACAATGACATGATAAAGCCCGGCCTCATTTCGGATTTGTTGCGAAGCGTCAAGAAAAGAGAAGAATGTTTTACCGTATTACCGTGAGAAAATTTAATGTACATAATATTGAAGTATTTTTTTAAGTAACGAGATAAAAAAATAGTTAATATTATATACATATATGTATAATTTTTTTTGTGTAAAACGTATTTTTATACAAAATTATTTCGACTTTATTTATATATTAAAACAATTGGTATTGCAATACATTTGAAATAATAAAAACAATTATATATATTATATATAGAGTTGAATATTTAAAAAATATATGATATTACAATACCATTAAATAATATTATTTTTTAAATAATATTGGGGGTGGACATATAACCATCTATTAATATTCCGGAAATATTACTTAATATTGAATAATATTACGCGCTTATAGGGTATGTGTCATTGAAGTGTTTGCTAGTCATTTATCCATTTTAGTTAATTTCTCATATCTAGATAATTTTAGCTACGACTGCAAGACTATTTTTCTAGCGCGTTCTCGTATCTCATTCTGTATTCCTTTTATTGTATCTTAAACCATAATTAATTCCTAACATCTCAGTTCTAATTCCCCGTATATTTAATTCCTTCTTCCTTATTCCTTTCATCGCGTCCGAGCCTACATATTTTGTTTGTCGTTCGCGCGCACAACTCTGGAGTTGTCAAAATTCAAACGGAGAACGCGAGCGCGCATGCGCCGGCACGCCCACGTGGTCAGAGCGAGGAATGGCCGCGGGTCGCTCGCTCGCTCGCTCGAAAAACCAGCCGCGACAAGTTGCCTAATTTGGCGATCGGCGCGCGATGATGTCGGATGAACTCACGCAATCCCGGCATCTCCTCGAACGTCCCGATGCCCTTATCCGCGAGATCCAGCTCGGGATTCTGGATCTCCCGCGCCTCGTCCAGCACCTTCTTCGCCTTTGACATCTTCCCCGCAGGAATACACGACACTGGCGCGGCCTGATTCATCGCGCGGCAACACACACGCGTCGTCGGAGGGGTATATCCGCGAGACCGATGCGTGTTTCCCGTCCCCCGGACGATGCGTCATCGACTACTCCGGCGCACTCTATTTTATCATCCCGACCGACGGGAACCGGCACACGTTAGATGGCAGCTGCTGTACTTTCAACGTGTCCGGCCAGACGACTTCCTTCACGAGCGACATGAGCGGCCGCGACCAGAAGTCTTTTTCCACTTGATCCAGCCGTCCGTCTGACCAGGGTCTTTTTCTACTTAAACCCATCCAGTTGACCAGCTTCCTTTCTAACACTTTGATTCGAATTTTTCCCCGTTCTTCAGAAATCACGTGAGCTCTTTTTATCCTTTCTTCTCTCTAAATTCAACGTTTAACGTTTTAAATTCAGAATTTAAAAAATTGGTCTATTTGGACAAATTCTGTGATTTAAAAAGAAAAAAACTTATCTTTTTACTTGTGCATTTAGTGTTCTTTGAGGCGGAAAAGAAGAGAGATTGCACGGGAGAAAAGAATTAGCCGTCCATGTAATACAACTGAAATTTAGTTATCAGATCTAGTTTTCAGCTGTGAGGACTAAAAATTAGACGCAAGGACAAAAAGGATCAGCTGAATTAACTAAATTTCAGTCGCATCATATGGACTAATTTTCACCTGTGGGAGTTAGTTTTCAAGCGTGGGTTGAGCTAAGTTCTCTTTTCCGCGTAGAAATTAGGAGAACGGTATTCTCCCATTTTAATCCCATTTTAAGACTAAGTCTTTAGATTATCTTTGGACGCTTTTCCACGGGCAAGCAATCGGCGCGCGGATCGTTCGGATTCGATCGGCGATAATAAATCGCGCGCAATTACAACGCGATCGCGCGGAGACGAGCCGCGGATGGCATCGCGCGGGCGCGCGCGCACGCGCGTGGTTTTAATAAACTGGTTTTAATAATGTTCTGGGATTTTTGCCGCTCGTCGCTTGCGGTTGAAACCGGAGCGGCGCGCATTCCGGTGCCGAGCGATGCACGATCGGCGACATTAAAGATAACAGGGAAGGAAATTCTCGCGAGGCTTGGGATAAGATCTGGAGCGCGCGCGAGAGACGCACACGAGTATATCCGCATATATCGAAAATTACGGCACGAACGCTCGGCCTCCTTCGGCCTCCGCCTTTGTGGCGCGTCCGCGCCTGCTGATTCGTCGATTTAGAAAATAGCCGCTGTTAAAGCCCGGCCGGAGGATAACGCGTCTACCCTTTCTCGTCGATGATAATAAACGGCGCGGCGGTTTATTTCGCTTCCGCGAGATAAGCTGAGCGAGATTAATGTCGCGCGCACTTGCTCGCGTACCGAAATTACGAAAATTCAACGCCCGATTATGTCATCAAGGTAACTACGAGCTATTCTCCCCCGATCCGGGAATCGTCGATCCATCTCAGGGAGAAAGATCAGAGCCCGTATTCTGGGCACACAGCGAAACATCAGGCCTGGAAATTTTATTTCAAGTTCTTCGAATTTCTGAACATTGATACATTATATTCGAATAGTGAAATTTTTAGATGTGAAAATTTGAAATTGGGATATTCGAATATTCGGACATTTGAAAACTCGAGAATTCGAATATTTGAATATTTGAAAATTCGGATATTCGAATGTTTGAATATTCAAAATTTCAGGAACTATTTTTAGAAAGTACACGTGTTCACTTTATAAGCATAATAAATCGTATTTACTGACTTAAAGAATATTATTTTTTCTTGCATTGCGTTATGCTGTTACATATTATGGCAAAATTTGCATTTATATAAAAATCAAATTAATGAGATTTATTATTTATTATTTGTGCTTTCTTCCTTCACTTCATGTTAAACTAAACAAATACAAATCTTAGAATTATACTAAAAATATCCAAATAACATGTTTAAAAGATGTCTCGAAGATGTCTTTTGGACGATCTCATTGTCTGAAACGTCTTTACGACATCTTAGGACGCTTTAATGTTATCCGGGTTAAATTAATACTCTAATAATACAGTATTTTGTTGAACTCTCCGAAATTGGTTCCATTAACAACTTCGATGTTCCGAAACATCGAATAGAGTACGAAACTTCAAGTAATTCGTCTACGAATCTTCGAACTTGATCGTTAAATGTCGAATTATGTCGAAGTTTCGAAAATGTCGAATAATTCTAGCCCTACTAAATATACTTTTTTGATTCTCAAACTGAAATCATCATACATTCATATCAGAGAAACTTGGAACTTGAAATTAGGCAGCCATATTCCGATAAATATCAAGTAACAATATCAAGTAAAAATAACATTATATCAATATAACAATATAACATTATATCAATATAACAATTTCCCACTGAACAAGTTTAATGTAACACGTGTTGTACGCGACAGTTACATTGTTGAATGAAAAATTATTAAATATTGATATAACGTTGTTTGTAGTCGGTGTTTAACGTTAAATGCGCCTGCACGGAATAAATTGTCACACGGAAAAAAAAGTTAGTCTTAAATAAAAAATAGATATTCTCATATATAAGCCGGAATATCATAATCTTCTTAGGAGACTTTTAGTCTTGATTGAATTTATATTGATGCAAGTATCACTTGAATTCAATTCAAGACTAAAAATCTTCTAAGAAGATTGTTATATTCTTGCTTATATATGAGAATATCTATTCTTGATTAAGGACTAATTTCTTTTTCCGTGCAGGCGTGTATTTTTCCCGACTTATCGTGCAACGCGAGAATCATTTTTCATCATCGAGAGATTGGAGCGTGACTGCGAGAACATTGCTGCGATACAGTTTCCCATCAACGAGTGGAATGCGTGGATAAAAAGAGAAAGAAAGAGAGAGAGAGAGAGAGAGAGGGAGAGGAGGGAAAGAGGGAGAGACAGTTATCGAGAGTTCGCTGGTAGCATTTCCGAAAACTATAAATATCTCGTCAGCGGCGATGATCTGGCGAACGGCCGGCTCTCGCTTCCTCCACGTGCGTCGGTTTTCTCCGTTATCGGCGAGCAGACCGCGGTAACAGGGGCAGACTAAAAGTACGAGGAGAGTGTGGCGCCAAACAGCACCCGAGGGCTCGTAAGGTTAGCGACCTTGGCGTGCACGTAAAGGCAAAGGACAGGACAGGCAAGCCGCCGCACGGCCAGGCGACGCACGGGGAGGAAAAGGCGGCCCACCTCTTCGAGCATCCATCATTGCTATCCAGCAATCAGTGCCAAGCAACATTATCGGTCAATTTACTGACGCCGTGACCGGTCTCGCTGCGCCGCACCGGCGCGGAAAAAGCAAATCTCGTTACTGCAACGAGGGAGAGAACGAGAGAGAGAGAGAGAGAGAGAGAACCAATTGCCTTTCCAATGCAACGCAACGCAACGCAATGCAACGCGACGTGATGCGACACAATGCAACAGCACTGTCCTCCATACAACGATCTGTAACGAGGAAAAGCAAGTTACACGATATAGAAGAAAAGTATTAAGATCGGCCACATCAGACCCTGAAACTATATTAAAGGTATAGAATTAAATTTTATATGCGTGGATGCAAAGCAGGCAATATTTCTCTACCAAAATACATTATAGTTCTTGGAAAATTGTTATGTTTTGCAAATAATTGCTTTTTAAGAAGTTAGAGAAATGACGTTTCGAGAAGGTAGACCCGAAAATCGACATATCCATGATACCTGCCAGGAAATTGTCCAAAAGTGAAATAAAAACATTGAAAATTACATTATTTTGGATATTTATTATTATTATCCTTGCATGTGTTATCTTTAATCGTACATGTTTTTTATTATGTAGAAAAGGTTGTTCTGATTTTTTCTTGCCGACTAAAGAAACAATACTAAACATGGGAAAATCAGTCACCGGTAGCTTTGACTATAGCTGTGTTCCAAAATTATTCAGCAAACGCTGAAAATCTATAGTTCATAGTTACGTATACTATAGACTTTCTGCACTGGGAGTGAATATTGGAATGCAACCTATATTCTGTGAGATGACATTTCACAGCAAAGTTGAGACATGTCGATCGAAAGTCCAGTAAACTCAGATATATCGGTTCACTGAACAACCTAACCTTAATCTTTCTCGCGTGATTCAGTAACAGAGGATAAAGATTGGTACAAAATCCAAAGTGATTTAAAATGCTTTAAATTTACGTTATAACAGTATTGTCCAATAAATTAAAATATATAAACTTATCGCTAATCTATTACTTAAAAACTTATAAAAAAGATATCTCGAAAACAACTTCAATATATCGAAAAATCAGTTAACGCTAATAATATAACCAAATGCATTTGTAAACAGAAACTGCTGCTTCAGCTCCGTACTGTACGCAGTAGACGAAGTTCATATACTGTTCGATCGAATTCTGTACTTTATAACCATAAAATATATATTAGTATGTCCATTTTCCATTTATATATTAGCTTTGGTATTCTTCCTCTAATTATTCCTCCAAAAGAGTATTTTACAAAATTTAAGCCGCTTTGAGTTGCAAACATATTAATATCTGTGAGATTTAATTATTGTTTCAGGATAATTTGAACCCAAGGAACTCAAACAATTTAAAATCAATATTTTCCGACCAGCTGTTTTCTCTGAAAAATAGTCGGAATGTCTATCTTGAGTGATGCTTGGCGTACACCTGATGAATCATATTTTAACGGGAATCATTTTCAACGATTTGAACTTTTGGCAACAATATCTTATCTTTGTTTTTCATTTTTTATTTATTATTATTTTTAATTAATTAATTTAAAAGATGAGACAATAAATTAAAAAGGTGTTTTGCAAGGTTATTTCCATCCTCAACCTACCTCCGGGAGATGATAGGTGATGGCTGAAATTATTTTCTGAAAGACAAAAATCCAAACTATATTTCAGTAACAAAATCCGGACCAGAATTTACCTTCATCGCAGATAAAGAAATTTTTGAAAATAAGTAAATTTACTGTCCCTACACAGAGAAAAAGGTTTTTTTAGATTTAATATTTCCATTTATTTGACTAAAATTTGTTTCATAGAAACAACATATACAACATATT